CTGTTCAGTTCAGAGTCAATCGATCGACGACCGTAAAATATGTATGTTATTGTGTCCGATGCGAAAATAGATGCAATTGGATGGTTCGTGTATCGAAAATGAAGAGGAAAAATAACATATTGGAACTAACAATATACAACGGTCCTCACACATGTTGTGCTGGAGGGGTCAACCAAGATCATCCCAACTTGAACTCTGAAATGATATGTCAAGCCATCATGTCCATGGTAAAAGCAAGCTCTCATATAGTTGTTTCTGTGTTGATTTCAGCTATATAATCGCAGTATGGGTACACTGTCTCCTATAAAAAAGCTTGGTTGACAAAACAAAATGCCATTGTCAAACTTCATGGCGAATGGGATGCATCTTACAACGAACTTCCAGGTTGGTTTAGGCTGGTGCAGACGTTGAATCCTAGGACAATTGTGGACTTCGAAAGCTCCTATGCATACCATAATGATCGAGTTCTTCACGATCGAAGCCAATTCTACCGGGTTTTTTGGAGTTACCCACAAAGCGTTAATGCTACCAAATACTGCAAGCCTGTGGTCCAGATCGACGGGACTTTCTTGTATGGAAAATACAAGCAAGTTTTATTATTGGCAGTTGTCCAAGATGGCAATCGCAACATTCTTCCAGTTGCTTTTGCTCTTGTCGAAGGAGAAGATACAGATTCTTGGGCTTTTTTCCTCCGAAATTTACGTGCACATGTTATCACGAGGGAAAACATCTGTGTCATTTCAGATCAAGGAGTTGGGATCAAAGTAGCAATGGAGTCTTTGGGTCCAATGTGGCAACCACCCTTTGTCCAACATAGGTATTGTCTCTGACACATTGCTGCGAACTATCATGGAAGGTACAAGAAGAATGATGAGCGTCAATTAATTGTGCGCATGGGTAAGTGAAACTGATGTAGTTTGTTTTCTTTCAATCGTTTTAATTTTGCAAAGAAAGCAAGTTAGTAGTTATACATTTTTTGATCAGGTTACGAACTACTTCCTCGAACGTTTGAATCAATGCTTCAAGATTTGCGGGCGAAGAACGAGGAAGGATACGATTACATCAGCCTCATCGATAAAGAAATGTGGACGAACGCATATGATGGTGGATATCGATATGGACACATGACGACCAACTTGGCTGAGGCAATCAATTCAACCTTAAAGGGTGCACGTCACTTACCTGTAGTGGCTTTGGTAAAAACTATATATTTTTGTTTGGGGGCGCTTTTTGCGAAGCTCGGGGGACAAGCTCAAACATGGATGCAAGGCGGTCATGTCTATCACCCTAGATTAGTTGCAGATCTACAGAAAAAAATTGCTACATCAAATGGAATGTCTGTAACAAGCTTCTCTAGAAGGCATGAAATGTTTCGTGTCACAGAGTTGCTGCGACCTCTTCAAGGGATTGAAGCTGTTTCGTTAAGAGTAAATCTAAGGGACAGAACGTGCAACTGCGGGTTTTTTCAATCTCTGAAGTATCCATGCTCTCATGTGATAGCATCTTGCTCGCATACACGTCAAGACTATAATCATTTTGTGGATCCTGTATACCTACTATCTGAAGTTTTTAAGGTATACGAATTTGAGTTTCCCCCCATAGGTAATGACAAAGACCCTGATGAGGTTCAAGATTGGCTTCTGATTGTACCAAATCCGAGTTTATTGAGGGAGCGTGGTCGTCCAAAATCCAATCGAATTCATTGCGATATGGATATTCGAGAAAGATCTTGACAAGACAGAAGATGTGGCCATTGTAGAAACCCAGGACACACTAGAAAAACATGTCCACTTCTGTTGTCATCAAGTAACAATTGATGAGTAAATGATGTATTTGTTTATCAAATAATAATTCTTGTACTTTAATTTGCATTTGCTTCAAGTTAATGTCATTCGATAATCGCTTATGAAGATTAAAAAAACGAACACAATCATTAAATTTTATCAAACTAATAACAATTTGGTATTTAAATGCAACAAACTTACAATAAGAATTAAATGGTAAATGATAACCAAATTACAATAACTGATATTAAATGGCAATAAACGAAATTAACTGAAATACATTAAAAAAAGTCCAACAAATTTAACAAAATAAAGTAAGTATTAAATGAGAAATAATAAAAACTTACAATTTAACAAAATAATGTAAATACAAATATAATAAAAAAAATCTATCGATGCATGCGTCGCGAATGTGTTCCGCAGGGCGGTGGCTGTCAGTCTCGAGGAGGATTTCTTCGTATCACTGGTTCTGACTCCTCGCTGTCATCATCGTCGTCGTCGTCCTGAGCAGGTACATTAGGTTGATGAGGAGCTGATGACGATGAAGCACCTCCATAAAATAAGGACCCTGGAAGTGTATGACTGACTATCCCACCGGCCTGCAAAAACTGGGAAAACTCATAAAACCCACACATCGCTGAGTGTGAAAACTGTACAGGAGGTGTATGTGCTGTGGCCATGGGTGATGAGGCTGAACCCGCCAGATATCTAGCATATGAACCCCAAGTCAGATTTGCAAACATAGACCCATAATAGCCTCTAGGAGGGGTCATCTGTGACGGTGGTGGCGGCGGGGTCATAAAACCAGGTGAAGGCGGTGGCGGCGGCATCATATATGGATGCGGCATCATAAATGGCTACGGTGGCTGCTGTGAAGGTCCTGCTAGTGCAGCTGAGGATGAACTGGAAGCACATGCTCTCCGTCCATGAGTCAGGGGACGATGGTGCTGTGTCGGTGAACGTCTCTGTCAACGTCGCGGAAAGGTCTGCCCTCTTGCATCCTCGGGAAGCATAAATGGTTTCCCATTACTGTTGAACCACTTATAATAATCGTCAGCAAACATCAATAGGTCATCAAAAATGGGCTCTCTACGGGGAAGGCATCGATGTCGATCCTCCCACAACACGACCCACTCATGATGCCTCACTAGCCAATCTGTATCTGTCTTGTCGCGTCTATCTAAGCTATGCAACTCGTCCATATTGCGAGGTGCTTCCAGAATTGGTTGAAAAAAACCAAACTGGCGGAGCACGCGATCAGTAGAATGCCACTCGACGGTTGCATAACAGATCAGAGGGACCATCGCCATCCTAACATCTGATGGGCCCCTCAACTTAGGTGGGATCACTGCCCTCACATCATCAGTACAATATGGCACCCATTCAAACTAAAACAAATATTATATAATTTTTTATCAAAATAATAATCTAATTATATAACTATAATCTAAAATTGATTTTTAAACATTAAATTTCATACATGTGTGCCAGCCTTCTGATCGATTAACACCCTAATTTTTTCTAAATCATCAGGTAGCTCCTGATGATTTTTCCTATCAGTAGACCACCTATTCAAGGAAAAAAAATTATTATACGCTGTATAAAATTATTAATATACAAAATTAGTTTTATAATTACCTCAGAAGTAGTGGAAATTCGAATGGGTTCTTCACAACGAGACATAAAAATGGCAATCGATACCATGCCCAAGACTGCAGCAGCAGGAGACATCCACCGATAGCATTACGCCTGTAGTCAGTGGCTCCACACATCTCCCTGTACAACAAAGCCAAAACTGCCGAGCCCCAACTGAATGATCCAGCCATATGAAAGTCGCTAAGATGTCGCAACCACATGCAGTGAACTAGGTTGCGGGATTTGTCCGGCATCAGCAACCCTCCTATCAACTGCAGTATTCATGCCCGTGCATACATCTTAACTTCATCCTTAGAGGCGTCTGCGCTCAACTCCCGAAAATTGGCATCTAACCAATTTAACGGTATCCTACCTCCGATAAATTTTTTCGGGACACGTCCTAGATTATCCCGACACAAAGTAGTCCAGGAACCCTGCGAGATCTATGCTATCACATCTCCATCCACCGGAAGCCCTAGGTTCATAGCAACATCCTCAAGTGTAATCATGCACTCTCCGCACGGAAGATGGAATGTGTGGGTCTCCGGCCTCCACCGCTCTACTAAGGCAGAAATACGGTCTGGTTCTATCTTACAGTGACCCTGATATCTACCTATGTAACCAAATACAGCCTCTACTAAATACGGCAAGACACGGCTAAGTATCACTAACATAAGATTCCTAATAAAAGGATCTAATACACGGTCCTTCTCCTAAAAAATAATAATTACACAAATTAATTCTTAATCTAATAATCATGCATTAAATAAATCAACAAATTATTACAAATAATTTAAATTAAATTAAAACGTTAAAATGTTACCGTATCAACAAAGTGTCGAGATATATGATTTTCATCCAAGCGAAATAGACCGCCTTCCATTATATATATACAAAAAAATTATATTAGTAAAATAATAAATAAAGTAAAATGCTTAAATAAATTAAATACATAATATTAAAAATATTATAAAATATACCTTAAACTGAGAGAGTATTTGAGAGAATTTGAGAGAATATGGTATGATGAAAGTAATGGACGAGGAGTATTTATAGGGAAGGTTGGGGGGTAATTAAAGGTATAGCGCGCCCCCTGTACCGCGCTATACCCCACGTGTCAGATAAACAGCTATAGCGCGGAACAGGGGGCGCGCTATACCCACGTGTAAGCCATGTCAGCGTATAGCGCAGTACAGGAGGCGCACTATACCCCATGTGACGCCAAATCAGCATATAGCGCGGGGCAAGGAGTGCTCTTTACTGCTACGGGTGTTAGATCGGGAAATATAATCTGACCGATGTTAGATCGGTAAATATACCGGTCACCGGTGATTTTTCGGTAAAAACGCCCGAGAACAGACACTCATGTCTTAGCCCCTAAATATTTTGAATTTATCTATCAGAAAACCATTAACAAGAACAGTATTAAGTGTGATTAAAACAGAACCAAAATAATAGTTGAATGATTAAATATCTAATATAATTTGTTAGATATACGAACACAAATAGAATTAAGCTATATTTCAGGGCACACGGAATATTAAACAAATTAAAAAGATAGAAGGTAAAACCGTGTAATCAATCAGATAAACTTGATCGCGTTCTTCATCTTGGTTCGATTTGAAGACAAAAATACTTTTTCTTTAAAAAAAAATAATTGCTGCAAAATTGAAAAATGTCAAAATCTTGCAAAGGTTTGGCCATGGAACAGATAAAGTGTCTAAGTGAATCAGATTGTGTTAAGGTATTCTTTTTTTCCCCTTTCTCATCTGCCCTCTTTGTTTTTTCCTCCTTGATTTCCAGATTTAATGCCCAGACATGAAATCATAGAATATTACTGAATTTCCGAATTTGGGGTTTAATTAGGTTGAGAAGTTCATTCAGGGAATGCGCTGGAGAAAATAACCCTTCTATACCAAGCGAATGTGTTGGACTCAGAGAAACTTATTTCAATTGCAAAAGAGGACTGGCACGCTGATTCTGCTTCTTTCTTTTTCATGTCCATTATATTGTTGAATATTTTTTTCTTTATTATCATGGTGATAGGGTTTTAGTCATAGAGTTGATAATGGTGGAGGTTTTAATTCTAAGGGTGCATTCCACGTTCAGTACTTAAATTATCAGTTTTAGCATGTTTTATTTCATTTTTCAAAATCATACCTAAAGTTTAATTTTTGTTTCATTTTAGTATCTATTATTAAAAACATTGGTTTTTGTTTCATTTTAGTACTTGAAAAAATGAAAAGTTTAAATATTAAAACGGATCAAAACTAATAGTTTAAACGCGTTAAGTTGTTAACGGTGGATACTAAAATGAAATGAAAACTATGTTAGGTATGATTTTGAAAAAATTGAAAGCTTAGACATTAAAATAAATCAAAACTGATAGTTTAGGTACTATCGGCAGGGCCAAAACTGAAAAGTATAGATACTAATAGTGCTAATAGATGTCATTAAAATATGATTTTGTCATATCTTAATCAGCATGTTAACGTGTAGCTCAGATGATTATCAATTTTTTAATGGAAAAGGCAAATTTAAAATATATGAATAGTCAAAAAATTATTTTATAACTTTTAATAATTGAGGACTCAACAAAGTAACACCTATAATTGAGTGACTATATGTGTACTATTAATTAAGAATAATAAAGGCTACAACAAAAATAGAGTTTTAGCAGCGTTTTTAAGCGCCGCTAAAAGCACTTGCGGCGATAGCAAAAACGCCACAAGAACCGTCAACTATACCAACGCCGCTAATGTTAGAGGCGTTTCTAAAATAAAAACGCCGCAAAAAGTCAAGATCTATAGCGGCGGTTTTGAAACAAAGACCACAAAAGATTAGATTTATACCGACGTTTTTGGATACAAACGCCGCTAAAGGTCAAGATCTATAGCGACGTTTTTTGTACATACGCCGCAAAAGGTCAAATCTATAGCGATGTTTTTGGATACAAACACCGCAAAAGGTCAGACCTATAGCGATGTTTTTGGAACAAACACCGCAAAAGATCAGATCTATAGCGACGTTTTTAAATACAAAAACCACAAAAGGTCAAATCTATAGCGGCATTTTTTTATACAAACGCCGCAAAAAGTTATATCTATAACGGCATTTTTTGATACAAACGCCGCTAATTAGCATTTGTTTTCCTAAGATTAATTAATATTTTGCATATTTCATTTCTTCTCTACATCACCTAAATTTAATATCATGTAACTTTATATAAATAACAACCATAAATTTTAGTAACAAAATAAATTAAAATTTATAAACATTAAAATTAAATGTAATGTACTTTGGCATTGTTCTCTAGAACAATAACATCACTTGTAAAACCTTTAGATACTTCATAAACATTCTACATTTTCTTTACAGACTTGAGAGACAATTTTATTGAAGCTACTATTTACAGACTTACACTCCTGCAATACGGGCTGGAATAAGATCTCTCCAGTTTGAAAGTGTTCCTTTGACATAGTAAACCGGCCCACAGTTGGAGCCTCCAGTGATGCTCGAGTATCTTTTGACGGTTTGGTTTTATAATCAATAGCAACGTAGCATAAATTCTGTATTTTAATCATACAAAAAGAGTATCAAGAAAATTGAATGAACATGTTGCCAATTTACAGCAAGAAAGCAAAGGTAAATGATCTTGCATGAACATCAGAGTGAAGGTCTGGAGGCTCCAAAGGTCAACGAGGCATTGATTCAAAAAGGGAGCAAAAACACCAAAGTAAATTTATCAATTTTAAACACCTTTTACACTACTCAAACCATATAAAGGAAATAGCATTAACCCCAAGTTGCAGAGGATTACAGCATACATCTTTCAGTGTCCGCACAGTGTACAACAATTCAAAGGTAATGTTGTTCTGCTGCAAGAATTCCCTGAGGTATCCTGTTAGTTTCAATGCTCCCAGTCCAATAACTTCAACACCCACCTTATGCATAACCTTCCCATTTAAAACTATAAAACACGCAGAGTAACCAATACAAATCCAGCATTCAGATATTACAGAAAAATGGAGAAAGCGGACATAGTAAAATACGCATTAGACTGAAAAAGTCACAATAACCAGTTCTTTTAATTCCCTTTTTAACACGAAAGAAAAAAAAAACGATTAAGGAGATAGACATACACAGGACATCAGAAAATAATAATAATAATAATAATAATAATAATAATAATAAATCACCATTAATGTTAATTATCAATCAACACATGCTAAAACAACTCGAGAGAAATCAAGTACATACTTGGAACAACAGATGTAACTTGGAAACCAATGTTAACAACAATTCCAGATGTTCGTCTTGCTGCAAAGAGAGCTAAAGTTCCATGCATAATTAAGAAGGAATACTAAAAGAATCTGTCTTTGAAGAGTGAGTTGGAGAGGATGCTACTTCTCCACATGTGACAAATATGGGGGAAAAACACTTAAAGCAGTGGAAAGATTTAAGGTTCATCCAACTTGAACCGTGCATGAGTTTTGAGAGGGTATAAGCATTTAAACAATCATGTTTCTTTTTTCTCCTTCCTTCGACTATTTCTTGTCGCAAAAAAATGTCGAAGTCTAAGAGATGACAAGATCGCTAAATGTAAAACTCTAAGAGATGACACATTACACATTACAAATTCAGAAACATATATGTTCATGATTTTGTTCATCAACCAAACTTAGGCGCACCTTGAAAGGGGGAAATCGAAGCTGATAAATAAAGATGCGCACCTTGAAAGCTACATAATTATCAGTTTTATTCGAAGCTGATAAATCAGACTATCTTTCTAAACTGAAAGTGAAGAAACTGGCAAAAATGTTCATGAAAGAAAAATAGAACTGTACCTTCGATAACTTAATTTATGCTCTGTGCAAAACCATTGTAATCCCTGCCGTAAAAGGGGTTAATAATTAATTATGACAACAATCAGAGCTCATAAACTTTCTAGAGAAATTATTTAATACTTTGCCACTGTCAATGTTGCATAAGATTTACAAACTATCCTAGATACAGCTAGCTTCTAAGGCCCAAATAATCACTGGTAAGACAGTTCAAATTGAAGCCAAACACCAATTAAGAAACTTAGCCACCGAAATTCAACCCCAAAAATGTAAAAGGTAAGTTGGATGTTTTTGCCACCTTATAGCAATAATCAGCAAAAACATCATACTCTCTGCCGCCACCAACTTCTTCAACTGGCACAGCATCACAGATTTCTTTCAAATCATCTTGTAGCTGTAAAAACACGATTCCAAACCCGTATCCATCACCACACTTGAATTCAAATAACATAGGTTTCCGAACTTACCTGGGATCGGAATGATGTCTTCCCCTTGATGTAGTAGCCATGCCAGAGCTAACTGAGGGTAGAACCAAAACTTAACCATCTTTTGCCTGTCACTTTTCTTGTGCCTCTTTGAATGGCTGGACTCATGCTCACTGTCCGATGAATTGTTACCCCTACAACAATTTAGCCGTCATAAATGTTAGGGAACTCATTGACCAAGTTTCCATGTTAAGGTTACTAGTCTGTAAAATTCTAAATAACCAAATAGTTTTATGTAATTTCTACACCTTCCATGTAACACATAAAAGTATGAGAACAAAAACAATAAAAAGAAAAAAGAACATTGATGAAGGGAAATTGTTCTTGCTCATTTATCAACTATTCAGAGCCAAAAAGCAAGAAGTCTGATCATGCATTTAAGCTTCAGAAGACACAATTTTGCATTTCCTTATGTTTAGTAGTTACTGCAATACATACATCAACTTCCATTTGTATAAAATGTATGATAATACAAGTCAACTCATTGTACTATAAACAAAACTTATCGAAGGCATAAGCAACGAGCTCGCTAGATATGCATCATAAGCTATAATTTTGATTCATTTTGAAGCTTTCATCCCGGATTATATCATTACAACCCAATCTTATTTAAACCAGCAAAGAATTAAAAGTTGGAACAATATTAAAATATACATTACAATAGTAACATAAAAATTGAAAAATCCATGATAACGTTTCATTGAAGAATACTTCCAACGAAAATTCCAGATTTAATAAAATCTTAATTTATTCGCCTAACAGCTAATCTTAAACATCAATTAGTTAACAAAACAAACAATTTCTTTTTACCTGGAGGAATCGGTGTCAGACGAAGAGTAAGAATCGGAAGAGTGGCGGCGATGCTTCCTACGACGCCGTTTACCAATCAAACGGTTTTTCTTTCGGATTTTGAGAGAATCTCTGTCTCTTTCGCGTCGGTGACTGCGATGACGGCGTTTTTTGGCCCGTGAGGATGACGAATCGGACAAGGAATCCGTGGAACAATAAGAAGTATCCGAAGACGACGATGCCGCCATAGTTGAACCAAAAAGAGTTTTCCCCCCTCTTTTTGATCTGATATTTGGGAGAGGTCGCGGCAAAGGGCGGTCTGTTATAACCTAATTCAACTTATGATTATTATCTAAACAATTATTTAATTGTAGAAAAACCATTCCCTTAAAATAATAATTTTTAATTTGATTAAAAATAATAATTATTAATTATTCACTTACTGATAAGAAATATTTACTAATTTTTTCTATTAATAGAAAAGTTATAAACAATTCATTTTTTTCTACTTATATTATGATGACTCTAAAAGTAAATTTTTAAATATTCACCTCATAAATTACATTTAAAATATATCATTATTTAAAATTCTAATTGAATTAATGCCATAATTAATCGATATTTTAATTAGGATAAATTACGCATTTAATACCTAATTTAAAATATTTTCATTTAATTATTATAGCATTTCGTATAAATTCAAACAATTGCGGCGTTTATTGAAAAAAACCACTATAGGTAAACACTATTACGGCGTTTGTATAAAACGCCGCTAAAGTTCTATTTTATTGCGGTGTTTATTGAAAAACACATGTATAAGTTAACCCTATTGCAGCGTTTGTATAAAAACGCCGCTAAAGTTGCCATTTTGTGGCGTTTGGAACGTAAACGCCACTATATGTTTAAATTTAGTGGCGTTTACTCTAAAAACGCCGCTAAAGAACATTTTTGCTATAGTGTATACATTAAACAAAAAATATACACTTAATTAGGCTAGCAAGTTACTTGACATGGATGTTAAGATAATTGAACTCTGTTCATTCAATAACTTCGAGTAACTTGAGCTTGGCTTGATAAAGTATGAGCCAAATTTGAGTTTTTTCAAGTCGAACTCAAATAACTTGCGAGTACATAGAGACATTTCATTTGCAATCTTGCTCCAGACTTGATAATCAATGGTGAATATTCACACCCATATGGTGTGTCTTATGTTTTTCTTTATGTCACAATCGTGTTTAAGGTGTTATATATCTTCGGTTTTCAGCTTGTTAATCAATTTGTTTTGTATATATTTGGACATGTTCATGTATTTATGATCTGTTTATGTTATATTTTGTGTTGTATCATATCTTCTGTTACTTGTACATGATAAGTTATAGGCCAATATGTAGAATATGACTGATTCAAGTACAGTTAAAACCGCTTTCTGGCCTTATGTAAGGAATAATTAGTAATAACTCTACCTTAGCAATTCAATGTATTCAGGTTTCAAATTCATTTTGGCTCAAAGGAGTATATGTTGTATGTGTAAAATGCTTCTTTTTGTAAAAATATTATTTCTTGGGTATGAATAAAAATTTCAGATACCATTTTAATCCGAATCTCTCTTTTGAACAACGGGAGGGAAAAAAATTGTTGAGAGAAGGCCAGTAAAGTAATGCTTTTCCCTTTTGGATGCAATTTATTCGGTTGATACTTCCTTTGTGGAGCTGCAAAATGCTGTTTTTCATATTTACTGTCATATATTCATGGACCCTTAAGATTGTTCTTTCAAATTTATAGTCGGAGCGATCGGCCGGCCCTTTAAGATTGTTCTTTCCTAAAGGAGGATTGGTCCCTCGTAAAGGAGGATCAATCCTCGTAAAATGTTTTTATTAACAGTAAAATGAGAAAAATGGCAGGTCTGAAAATAAATCTTACACATGGTTAAGACACAAGAAGATATACGGTCACAAATTCGCAATAGGAATACACAAATTCCATCGTTGTTGCAACATTTCTGTGCTGCACTTTGCTATATTTGCTTAACAGTTCCATAATCAATAGAAAATGATTATCATTTCGAAGGCGATTAGTGCAGGTTTATGTTTGTATTGTTTTCAACACAAAAAAAGGAGGCTACTTTCAAATGAAATCGGAGCTTCGATTGTTAAAACTCTATGTTCGTTAACACAAACACAAACACTATATTATAAATGCTAGGTATCTTGGTGAATAATCTATCTCGACTATGTCTAGAGTTGAAGACTCTGCGATATACTACTAATGTGTTATACGTCTATTTCGTTTCTGTTCCGTTCCAGGTTGACATGAGAGCTGGGATCCGTGGAAACAAGGGCTACTAAGTGAATGGGGGATCATCAAATTCGCGACCGCATCTGCCATATCACTTTATGATAACGACAAAACCGTTGGACGATTTTCACATGTTTTATTTTTCTAGTTCCACCTTTGCTTACCATAATCTGGCTTACTAGCTTAGCTTAAGATGAGGTACATTCCCAACCATACTGGTATTCTAAAGCGTAGGCTCTAGCAGAATTAGTTCAAACTCTTACATGGTAATTCTAAGCCGGATTCGGATTAGTGTTGGATACGAGCGCTTTATTTATTCCAGGTGTGTATTATATACATTCCCAACCATATTGGTATTCTAAAGCGTAAGCTCGGATAGTATCGCTTGAGCTCATTGTCTTTCTATAATGGTCAATAGAAAGGCAGTGAAGATACCTTCCCATTGCAGGCTGAATAAAGAATTCAATAAGGTAAACTACTCAAATGACCACATAATTATGCTGTTGGTGTCGATATGATCTCCATAGTTTCGATTTTAGCAACATGACCACATCACTATTTAAGTGGTTTCAATGTAGCCACTTATCGTTACTAAACAGATGGCGTAGCTAATGTGGTTACTGACTAACGGGGAGTTAGAGATCCACATCAACTACGTCATTTGTTTAGTAGGTGTGTCGACACATATTTTCGTCCGATCGTGTTATATGGCATTTACGTGCTATGTGTTATTTTTTGTAGTATATAGTATACATGTATTATATCTCATAACAGATGCATATTATATTATATATTATAATTATATAGCATATATTACACACATATATTAATTGGGTTCCATTTATTTACAATTGCAAGCCCAATGTTTACAAAATAACCTAGCAGACCAACAGCAGCAACCCAACAAGTTACCTGGACCCGAGAACCAGTTGAGCAACCCGAGACCCGGTTCGCTTGTGCCCGACCCGCATCAGTAAGCTAGGGTTTCCAGAACCCTAGCCCCTTCTCCATCAGCGCCGCAACTGCCGAAGACTCCTCTTATCTCACGACTCCTCGCCAACACGCCCCAACGTCGATTTTTTCGGCAACAAGCAACGCCGTGGATTTATAGGACACCAAAAACAGCAAATATCACGCAATATTAGTCCAAGTAGAACTCTAAAAAGTCGGGATTAAGAATAGCATTTTTAGACTATAAATGCCATGTAAATCTCACAAGAAAATAAGGAAAAATGAAGGCAAAATAGTTGTAAAACTTTCAAAACCCATTTGAAATAAAGGTGTGGTTTTTACCTTGTTTTGTCGATCGATGTTTGTATGTAGGAGTGATATTTGTTCTTCAATCATTTCGGTTTAAGAAAAAAAGAAAAAATTTCGAAACTTTTCTTTTAGTTATACTCTCATCCGATGCGATTTTTTTTAAAAAAAAAAGTTGATATTTAAACTAAGGGAAGAGAGAACTTTCGAAAAAAAACAATTTTTCATCGGCGGCGGACCGCCGGATTCTGGATTTGGGTGGTCGTGTTCTTCATGAAGTGTTGAGAGAATTTGTTTTTTTTTTTTGTGTGTTTTGATCGAGTTGGAATAATGGGGAAATGAAGTGTTGTTTATGGTGTTTAACATTTATAGTAAGCCCACAAATCGACCCACGACCCGACCCGCAACACACACGACCCACGTGTTTCTGAAATAAAGAGGGTGAATTGTGTTTTAGGGAATTTATTTTACCCCCAAAATCCGGTTTTTACTTTGAAACCCTCCTAATTTGGCCACTTAATTTATTTCCCTTTCAATTTAGACCCTTATTACTATATATTTAATTATATCTTTTGTTATTTATTTATTTCTTCCTTTCTGTTTTATTATTATTATTATTTATTATTTTACTCTATTGCCTTTTTATCATTGTTTATATATTTCATATATGTATATATTTTCTTTTATTTTTTTACTTACTTTATTCCATATTATATTATATATATATTTTTCTTCTCACCTTTTTTCTTCATAGGTCCCCTCCCTTTTTTTTGTCTCCACCCAAATTTAATCATTCTTTCGGTGCATTAATTATAGTAGGCTAAGTTTTATTTTTTTATTATTTTTTTCTTCTTTATTATTATTATAGTTATTATATATATAATTTTTCTCTCACCTTTTTTTCTTCCTAGGCCCCTCCCCTTTTTTTGTCTCCACCCAAATTTAATCATTTTTAGTGCATTAATAATAGTAGAGTAAGTTTTGTTTTTTATTACTCTTTTTTTCTTCTTTATTATTATTATAGTTATTATATATATTTTATTATTATTATTATTATTATATATTCTTTATACTTTTTCCTTTAATATTTTATTTATATGCATATATATTTTATTTATTCACTTACTTATTTTTTTTATTTTGTTTTTTATATATTTTTATTTATTTTTATCTTGCATTATTATATATGCGTCATTATTGTCTTTATTTTATTTATTTATTTATTATTATTTTTTTTACCCTTTTTTATTTTTTATTTATTTTATTTTATTTTTTTATTCTTTGTTTCTTTTGCTTTATTTTATTTGTTTTTTATTTTCTTTATTTTATTCATTTTCACTTTTTTCCTTTTAACATTTTTATCTTTTAAGGGTAGTTCAATCAATCAGAGGTAATTTTTGGGTCGTTATTTTATCTTTTCATTTAAGTTACAATTTTCTTAATTAAAGACAATTGGAAATTATGTAGTACCGAAAGGGCAGTCTAAGGGTGCTAACCCTTCCTTAACTGTAACCGACTCCCGAATCCGACACATCTTTGGTCATACGCAGATCATGTAAGAAATAAGGTATCCGATCAACCCATTTATTTAAAAATAAATGATCGGCGGCGACTCCCATTCATTTTATCCAAGTCGAAGCCCAATTTCAGGCCCACCTGAAATACGGTCGCGACAGCTTGGCGGCTCCGCTGGGGATAGGTAAGTGAGTCAGGCTAAGGTAATTTTCAGTTGTCTTTTTAATGAAAAGTGTAAGTTTAAATTTTAAGGTAATTTTTCGATCCTTACTACTTACTTCTGATTATGTTTTATCGAATAAATAGTTGTACTGACAGTTTTCTCAATGATTTCAGCTTGTCAAACTCGATTTTTCATCTAAGGCTCTAAACTTGAGTTCCAAACCCGTTTTTAAGTGGGGTGAAAGCGACGCTCTCGTGAGAATATATTCTCCGTATGAGCCTAGCAAGTAACCTTCGGGATTCATATACCTTATGCTTTCGTGTGAATTATTCTCCGTATGGGCATAAGGGAATGTATCCTCTCGAGTTTAACTTAGTCCACATAAGCTTGTTATAGGCTTAGGACTAAGGGTCTGGCAAACCCAAGGGGCACCAGTAAGGAGAACTCGGGTACTTTTTTAGAACCTAAACTGGGAGATTACAGGGAATTAGAGCCCACCCCAAAACCTCATTTCAAACTCTAGGCTGCTTTGATATTATTTCATTCTTTATTTCATGTTCAAAACATGTGAACTAGAAATTTATGCGGTTAGGACTTGTTCAAAATCAACTTGTGGGATAAAGATCATGTCCAGTATGGATTCTAAGCATGTGGGTAGATATCATGTGGGGTAGATATCATGTAGGGTAAGACTTTTATTTTCATGATTGTTTTGATTATTATCTTTACGTCACTAACTCTTTTCATTTTTGTTCTCTTTTATTTTATTTTTATCATTTGCATCATTCAAAAGAGGTGTTGATCCACCAAAAATGTGTTCGTTAAACGTAAATGATATGTATTAATGAACAAAGGGGTTATAATACAAGAGATGAAAAGCTCAGAAGTCCAGCTATGGTTAGAAAAGACTCGGAATGGATCGAGTTTACACCAAGCACGTCAAAAGTCAACTTTTCCAAAATGGGATGGCGAAATTTGCAGGGGCAGACAAGAAAAATGTTACTGATCTGGAAAATCCCTTCAAAGACAACAAGAACAAACTGACAAAACCCTAGCTAAGCTGGAGACCATTGTTGACGAATTCAAGAAGCAAGCTTCAGATAGTTCCTATCAATGGAGGACTCCAATGACACTTTCGTTAGGAACCGACTCAGCAGAGAGTAAAAGTCAGAGATGCACTCATTCGAGACTTTTTGGAGCAAGCAGCTCGTCACTTGCACAGTTTAGCCAGAGAAGCCGGAATGGTTCGACAAGGTATTCAACCAGTGACAGAAGAAGGAAGAAGATGAATCAACCTGTTGGAAGTAGTTCGGGGTCTATACTTTGAAAATGTTTTTTGTCTCTTAAGACATAACACTTTTGTCCCCAATAAGGATTATTTACAATAACATACACATTTTTTGGATCAATGCCTCGAACATTTCATGCATCATGCATTCTTGCATATTTCGCATAATTTTTCTTTTTTCATTGCATCCACATGAACTAACAAAGGGGTACAAACACTGGACGTACCTCCACAAGCTTTGAACACGTGTCATCCTCACAACACTCACACAAAGGAAAATGGAAGCCAATATTGCTCAACTTGAAGAGAACATGCTAAGATTACAGAAGAAACTGGAAGAAAATAAATCAAAATCAACAAAGTACCTTGGATTCCATCACTAGGAACCAGAACTTATTGGTTGACCATATTATTTCACGGTTGTCTGGCTTGAATCAAATGAATGCTCCTTGGGCAAGTCGGGCATCCTAATAAGGATTTATTTCATATTTCTTTTTGAAACCTGCTTTTGAACTTTGACATAATTCTTTTTATGAGGATATTTCAATGAATTTAGGCTAAGCATTGAATCAAATTTACAACTTGAAATTCTTTGAATATCAGCTGAATTAAAAAACACTGTAAATGATTCAGAATTACAGATCTTTGACAAAGTGACAAAACAAGGACTTTACCTCGAAAAGCCCGAACACCATACATTTCCCTTACAAGAACCGATATAGCCTTCTCCTCTTATAAAAGAATGAAAAGAGGCTTGGTATTTAGATGTGCATAGGTGCGGACAACATGGGGCATCTTTTGCATACGATATTTCTATACTTTTTGTTTAAGACGTTCAGTGATGATAATGATCTTCACAGATGGAATAGTCGAGTAGGTGAATCTAGTT